GTAAACGGAACCGAATATTTGTGTTCCCATTATTCCAGCCCAAACATTCCTCTTCCAACTAGTTTTTGAAGCTCCTGGGATGGGTGCATCGTGGATTTTTATCGCTCCAACAATGATTGTTGTGCGAATTCAAGATTCCTTCTCGTGTGAATAACGATTCATCGCTAAATATGACACGAGAAAGAAATCTTGGATTTCGATCCATCTTTCTCAGGAAATCTTCGCAAAAATTTCGTTTTTAAGTTTAATCTTCCGATCGTAATTTTTGCATACGAGTGTAGTGAAATGCGTGCAACTTTTCTTCCTTAAGTATTCTTTGCAACGTGGAATACGAGAAATCATGATCGCGAGCAATAACTCTAATACTAGTATCAGATTCTTGCTCGATAACATTTTGCAAATTTCTTGTGGTCTAGTTCCTGCCAACATCATGTTTATTTGACAATACGCTGCCAGTTTCATACAATCTGAATTGTAATAAATAATGTTAATGATAAATAATTACGTTATCATTCTTATTTATTAAAATGCAGTCAGTTTTATACAACCTATGAGCTGCAGCAAGTATCACAATCGGCGGAGGATGTCGGTTTAAATATAACTCGGCGTATTTTCTTGCAGCCACATGATATTGCCCTTGATACTCACCGAGTGCCATCAGCATATCGTAATATTCTTGAGTTGAATATGCCATTTCTTTATTGTCTTAATTGATGGAGGATGATTAACACAGATATCGATTTTGTCATATTATTTATATGATCATTTCTTTGCAACCGCAACATAATGCAAAGAACTTCAGCGAGCAATTTGGATAATTGAATAAAACATAAAAATGTAAATATTTTCATATAATTATAGTTTTTTACTCGCTAGTTGCATGCAGCCCGAATGATAAATAATAATGTTATTATTCTTATTTTTATGATTTTTTACTCGCCGCAGTTCAGAGGTTGAATGAAACTGGCAGCGTCTGAACAAATAAGAATAGTAACATTATTATTTAACATTCAGGTTGCATGCAACCGGCGAGTAAAGAACCATAATTGTATATTGTATATTGTAAATATTGTAAATTGTATATTGTAAATTATTTTAAATTTTTATGTTTTATTCAATTTATTCAAATTGCTCGCTGAAGTTTGTTGCTATTATGTTGT